TTCATTTCCCAACCTCAATTTCCCACCGATCTATGAACAGCAAAACCTTCCTGTGTCTTTTGTCTGAGCCAGGGTATTCAGTTCCATTGAAACCTTCTCTCCTGCAATGGCAGTGGTCAAACAGAGGGCATGTGGCCACCTGCATCCCTGATGGTGAGACCTTCGCTCTCCTCTTCCTTCATGCTGCTGCTGTTATTTCTTGGTATGCATAAGCGTGCACACGGGGTGTGCCCAGGCACACCCTAATGTAGGGGTGGGCAAATGGCTCCACTCCCCGGCGCGGCAAGCCACAGGGTCCGCGCTCCTGGGCCGGAGTGCCCAGCCAAATGCAGCAAGCCACCGGCCCCTCCCCCGCCTTCCTCCCTCCCCTGGAGCCATGCTGCCGCGCGCAGCGCTCTGGGGGCCAGGGCTCCGCGGGGAGGCTAGGAGCCTCATTTCATGATAAGGGGTCCAGGGCCAGGATGGTTGGATAAGGGGTGGGGGCAGTCACGGGACAGGGTGGGTTGGATGGGGCATGGGAGTCCCGGGGTCTCTCAGGGGGTGGGAGGTGGACTGGGGTCAGGGAAGTCAGGGGACAGGGAGCAAGGAGGGTCCTGGGGGGGCAGTTAGTGGGGGGGGTGGTCTCTGGAGGGGGTGGTCAGGGGACAAGGAGTTGGGGGGGTTGGATGAGTCAGGAGTTCTGGGGGGGGCTGTCAGGAGGCAGGGGTGTGGAGAGGGGTTGGGGGAGGCAGGGAGCAGGGGGGGTTGTATGGGTTGGGAGTTCTGGGGGTCCTGTCAGGGGGTGGGGAGCAGTTGGATAGGCGTAGGAGTCCCGGGGGTCTGTCTGGGGGAGGGGGTGTGGATAAGGGTCAGGGCAGTCAGGGGACTGGTAGGGGGTAGGGTCCTAGGGGGGCAGTCAGGGGACAAGGAGCAGGGAGGCTTAGGTAGGGGGTGGAGTCCTGGGGGGGCAGTTAGGGGCAGGGGTCCCAGGAGGAGGTAGTCAGGGGACAAGGAGCAGGGGGGGTTGGGGGTTCTGAGGGGGGAAGTCAGGGGGCGGGAAGTAGGAAGGAGTGGATGGGGGCGGGACTAGGGCAGGGGCGGGGCTGGGGTGGGGCTCCGTGGGTGCACACTCTAATGAAATGGGCTGCGCATGCCTATGTTGGTATGTCAAGGATGGAACAAAAGGCTGAGTTCACTCCAGGGTGAGGAACGAAAGGAGCCTCCAACCCCTTTATCAAGGCTGTATCCCCACTTTGAACTTTAGGGTAGAAGTGTGGGGGCCTGCATGAGGACTTCTAAGCTTAACTACCAGCTTAGTTCTGGTCCGCTGCCACCATTCCCTTCCCTGGGAAGCTTTGAGAAACCTTTCACCAATTCCCTGGTGAATACAGATCCAAACCCCTTGGATCTTAAAACAAGGAGAAATTGACCCTTCCCCCCCCTCCTTCCTTTCACCAACTCCTGGTGAATACAGATCCAACTCCCTTGGATCTAAAAACAATGAAAAATCAATCAGGTTCTTAAAAAGAAGGCTTTTAATTAAAGAAAAAGGTAAAAATCATCTCTGTAAAATAAGTATGGAAAATAACTTTACAGGGTAATCAAACTTAAAGAGCTCAGAGGACCCCCCTCTAGCCCAGGTTCAAAGTATAGCAAACAAAGATAAACTCTCTAGTAAAAGGTACATTTACAAGTTGAGAAAACAAAGTAAAACTAAGACGCCTTGCCTGGCTTTTTACTTACAAGTTTGAAATAGGAGAGACTTGTTTAGAAAGATGGGGAGAACCTGGATTGATGTCTGGTCCCTCTCAGTCCCAAGAGCAAACAACCCCTTAAACAAAGAGCACAAACAAAAGCCTTTTCCACCCCCCCCCCCAAGATTTGAAAGTATCTTGTCCCCTTATTGGTCCTTTGGGTCAGGTGTCAGCCAGGTTACCCGAGCTTCTTAACCCTTTACAGGTAAAAGGATTTTGGAGTCTCTGGCCAGGAGGGATTTTATAGTACTGTACACAGGAGAGTTGTTACCCTTCCCTTTATAGTTATGATACCCTTGAAAAAGCTCAGAGCCCCAGGGAAAACTTGACCCCTGCCATTGGAATCACTGATATGCTGGCGATATGATGGGGAAAGGGACTCTCTGAATTGGCAAGGTAGGGAATGAACAACAATCTACAGCAACGTCATTAACCACAGACATCTCATCATGCTCCAGCCAGAAGGGAAACCATCAGGAATTCCCACTGTTCAGCCCTGGACCCACTTACACACCCACACAGCAGTGAGTGTGCTGGGGAAGCTGGTCTGAACAAACAATTGGAAATGATAATTCAGTGAGAACAGAGCCATAGTGTAGTGAGCCAAACAAAGGAGTCAAGTGGTTGTGGCCTAGGTAAGGTGATAGACTGGAAATCCATTGGGGGTTTGAATCCTGACAATCGTGGAAGAGCTAAAGATGTGGTTACTCCATTTTACTGCCTGAGCATCCTTGGTGCCTACTGGAGCCAGGGCTGGTCTCACGCTAAGGCCATTTCTACATTAGCACTTATGTTGGCAAAACACTTGTCACTCAAGGGTTTTGCTGGCACAAGCGCTCGTGCACACAGTGCTGTGACGATGGGAGGTGCTCTCCTGCCGACCTAGCTACCACTGCTCATTGAGCTGGTTTTATTTCGTGGATGGGAGATCTCTCCAGGCCGCCAGCATAATGGGGCCCCATGTGTGCTCTTACAGCGGCACAGCTGTATCAGTACAGCTGTGCCGCTGTCAGCTTGTAAGTGTAGCCAGAGCCTAAGTCTACACTTAAAACGTTACAGTATCTCCGCATTTCACAGCAGACACTCACTACAGTGATGGGAGAGGTGAGCCTGTCACTGGAGCTAATCCACCTCCCCATGACGCGGTACTGAGGTTAACAGAGCAATTCTTCCATCCACCTAGCACTGTCTACACCAGGGCTTAGGTCAGTTTAACTGCGTTGCTCAGGGGTGTGGATTTTTCACACCCTGAGAGACAGAGCGTTGCCCCACATGCATTGCTTCCGTCTCACAAAGGGCAGGTCCGCACGTAAGCACTGCACTGGTCCGGCTGCACCACCATAGCGCTTCAGTGGAGACTATCTATGCTGATGTGAGGGCTTCTCCCCTCGGCTTAGGTTCTCCACCACCTCAAGCTGTGTTGACGTTAGAAGCCCTCCTGTTGACAGAGTGCTGTCTACCCCAGGGCTTAGGTCGGTATCACTGCATTGCTCAGGGGGGTGGATTTCTTACACTCCTGAACAATGTAGTTATACCGACCCAATTTTGTAGCATAGCTCTGGCTCCAAGCAAAGCTTGTCGGGCCCAGGTGGGGGCTGGCAGGGCATCAGGTGTGGTGGGAGGGTTTAAATCACACTGCCAGGCACTAATAATAAAGGTGCTGAAAGCGTGCAATTTGTACGTGGATAGGCCAGTGTTCCAGTCCCCTCGCAGACGACCCCATCACTTTCTGAAAAGGGCACATCTCAGCTCTCAAACGGCACGTTGTGGCTGCAAGAATCTGTGGGCGGCTCTTTCATTTACACTGAGGTTTAAGTCCCGCTTCGTGCCCCATGTTTGAGAATGAAAATCATAAACCACCCTTTGAAATAACGAATGCAGCAGGATGTTATTGACCCTGCCTGAAAGCAGACAGCCCATTGGAGAAATGCAGTGGGGTTTGGGGTAATACTTCACTGCACATTTACCCTTGCTAAACTCCCTCCCCACCTTGTGGGGTCCCAGAGCCCGGTATCCGAGACGCCTTCGCTGCAACTTTATCCGAAGCCCGAGTCAGCTGACACAGGCCAGCCGTGGGTGTTTCATCACAGTGTGAATATACCCTCACATCATGCCTACACTGCGATTAGAATCATAGAATACCAGGGTTGGAAGGGACCTCAGGAGGTATCTAGTCCAACCCCCTGCTCAAAGCAGGACCAATCCCCAGACAGGTGCCTGGGAAGTGGGGCAGGGCACCTGTCTCAAAGCCCGGGGCAGCTGACTCAGGCGTGTGGGGCCTGGGCTGCAGGGCTATACATTTACAGTGGCGATGTAGGGGCTTGAGCCCAGCCTCAGAGCCCCGGCAAGGGGCGAGGGTCTCCGAGCCCAGGCTGCAGCCTGAGCCCAAAGAGCCACACGGCAGTTTGGAGCCCCAGTCAGAGCAATGGACGCGGTGGGACGAGATTTATTATTTCTAGGGTTACCATACGTCCGGATTTTCCCGGACATGTCCGGCTTTTTGGTCCTCAAATCCCCATCCGGGGGGAATTGCCAAAAAGCCGAACATGTCCAGGAAAACGCCGGCATCCCTGCCCCAGTCCCCTGCTTACCTGAGCGGCTCCGGCAGGCTGCGAGCTGCAGGCGGATTCCCTGCTGCTCCCCCCAGACACCTCAGCTCTGTGTAGCAGAAGAGCGGAGCTGTCCGAGCGCTACCGGCTTCACGGTTTGCCGGGCAGCCCCCAGACCTCCAGACCCCGCGCCCCCGGCCGGGCGCATCCCCTCCCGGCCTCCGGCTGCGCTGGGGAAGTGCCCGGCCGGGGGGGCAGCGGGTCGGGGGGCTGCCCGGCAGACCGTGAAGCTGGTAGCGCTTGGGCAGCTGTTTCCTGTGGCTGGGAGGGAGGAGGGGGAGGGGGCGGAGTTGGGGCGGGGCCATTGGGGAAGGGGCGGGGTCAGGGCCCCATGGAGTGTTCTCTTTTTTAAAACCTTAAATATGGTAACCCTGTTATTTCCCTCCCCAGACACACGGCCGGGAACCGCCCGCCCGCCCGCCCGCCCGCGCCCCCTGCGCTGCCCCCAGCCCGCGTGAGCAGATCCCCGGGGGGGCCTTTGTCCTGCCTGCCCCGGGGTCCCTCCGCCAATCAGGGAGCGGGGAGGCGCGCGGCCGCGCCCACGCCCCCTCCGCCAATAGAAAGCCGAGCGTGAGAAAGTAGCGAGAACTACGCTTCCCAGTGCGCACCGGGATAGGCCACTTCCGCTTCCTGCGGCACGTGTGGCAGTGGATAGGGGCAACCAAACGTCACTTCCGCTCTGAGGAGAATCGGGTGTACGGTGCTCAGCCTGTCCCGCGGCGCTTCCGCCCTCTCGAGCCCAGGTAAGGGAGGGCCCCGGGGTCAGCCTGACCCTCCCCCCCGAGGCTCCCCGGCCGCGCCCCCCGCCCGGAGCCCCCCCGGCACCTTCCCGCTTCTCAGGCGAACTCTCGTGTCCCGGGGCCGGGGCCTGGTCCCTGGCGGCCCCGCCCCTCGGCCGGGCGCTGCGCTGCGGGGGGGCCTCAGCCCCGGGGTCTCTGGGCCGGGCCCCGCTGCTCCCCGGGCCCGAGCAGCGCCCCCGGGATCGGCCCCGCCCCCCCCCGGGTCCGACCCCTCCCCGCGGCCAATGCCAGGGCTCCAGAGGGAGCGATCGGACCCGAGAGACCCGGCAATCGGGGGCCAGGGATCACGCTGTGGGCGGGAGGGGCAGGGCGGGGATCAGTCAGTGGGGGGACGGGGTGCCCGGGGGGGGGCAGCCCAGGGGCCGGCGTAGGGGGCGGCGGTTCACTTTCAGGAGTCGGGTGTACCCCAGGTTACAGCCGTAGCGATACCAGCGTGTCACAGCGCAGGATGGCTGGACAGGGCTGACGTTCTCATCTTTACCATCTAATTATAACATAAATCAACTGGAATGTAACTATTGTACTTGCGTTTCAGCGCACAGGCTCTAGATCAGTATAGAATCTCAGGGTTGGAAGGGACCTCAGGAGATCATCTAGTCCAACCCCCTGCTCAAAGCAGGACCAATCCCCAGAAGAAACTGACTCCACCATGACGATAAGGATGAGAACCGATCAGCTGCGTAGAACAGATATGCGCAAGTCGTATGAAAATTTACTATGTACTGACTTTGCTAGTGCTTTTTATGTAGCATGTTGCAAAACTAGGGAAATATCTAGATGAGTTGCTGTACCCCCTGAAAGACCCCTGTTCTGGGTAGGTAAAGTCACCCCATTACTAATTGTATTTTGAATTTCTCTGTTAATTGTGCAACAGTCTAGAACACTAGTGTGCAGGGAAAGAGCCTGGGGGGGAATTTTGATATGAAATTATTTCCTGTTCTGACATGTCCCCAATTGCCCTTTTTGCCCTAACAGGCTGCAGAGCAACATCCATGTTTTGCTCCAGCTCAGTCCATCCTTCCAGGGACCAGAAAAGGGAAATGGCTGCAATGGAGCCAGTCAAGGTAGGGATTATCGGGGAGTTGCTGGTGGGTTCCTGTTGGGGAGAGAGAAGGGCAGTAAATACATAGGAGGTGGGCACTTGGGGGGGGTGGAGGTTGGTCTGAAGGTGGGAGGGGTTAGGAATTACATCAGGTGGAGAAAGGGGGGGGCAAGGTGTGAAAAACGTGCTGGGATTTGGTTACAGTGAGGCCTAGATGGTAGGAACAGACCCCTGGGGTTTGTGGGTGGGAATTCCCTAATTTGTGTAACAGGAAACAACCCCCCTGGAGTGGGCTGGGAAAACTTACCAGAGTCCAATACTAGAGCCTGAACCTACTACCCAGAAGCTGCTGTGAGATATAAAGGGGCCCCCACCAGCAGTGTTCCTCTAATTTTTTATGTCCATATGTGGAATTAATTTTGTTATGTGTCACACATCACCTCCATATTGATGCACATAACAAAATTCATGTGGTGAGGATGGTGCCGAGTGGTTCAGATTGTGGGAGGGGGTTCAGGGCTGGGTCGGGGTTGGAGTGCTGGGTGTGTGTGAGGGCTCTGGGGTGGGGCTGGGAATGTGGGGTTCAGAGTGCGGAAGGTGGCTCGGGGCTGGGGCAGAGGGTCAGGGGGGCTGAGGGCCCCTGGCTAGCGGGGCTGGAGATGAGGGGTTCAGGAGGGGGCTTGGGCCTGGGGCAGAGGGTTGGGTGCAGGGGGTGAGGGCTCCGGCTAGGGGTGAAGGCTGTGGGGTGGGGCCAGGGATGACAGGTTCGGGGTGCGGGATGGGGCTCAGGGCTGGGGCAGAGGGTTGTGGGGGGGACAAGGGCCCTGTCTGGGGTTGTGGGCTCTGGGGTGAGGCTGGGGATGAGGGGTTTGGGGGTACAGGCTGCCCTGGGGCTGTGGTAGGGAGAGAGGACTCCCCCGAGTCCTCTCTCACCACAGCAGCTTGGGGGAGGGAGAGAGGCGACTCAGGGAGGGGCTGCGGAAAGGGCTTCTCTCCCACCGCGGCATGTCAGGGGCAAGTCCGTGTTTGGGGCCGGGGGAGGGGCGCCTTTCTCCCAGCTGCGGCAAGTCCAGGGCAGGTCCACACTGGGGCCGGTGGGGAGGGGTGCCTTTCCCTGCCGCAGTCCCGAGTCCCTTCTCAGGGCTTAATAGGCAGCTGCGCGACCATGCACCTTAGAGGGAACTTAGCCCTCCAGAGAGGCCCAGGGAAGACACCCCATCCCCTCCCATCTAGTTGTTATCAATGGGGAGGGTGTTGCAATTCCCATCATAGTGTTATCCGTGGACTCTGCTGGGAGCTTCATCTCCTGTATCAGTCTCTAGCTAGTAGGTGAGTGATGACTGTGAAGACCCCTTTCCCCTCTCTCCTCTCGGAGGGGTGAAGGGCTCTCTTTTTCTCCCCTCACCCTAATGCTTCCTGCCTGTTCCGATGGGGTAGGTGTGGGATTATGCTGTCTGCCTGCCTCCCAGAGCTTCCATGTGATTGGCCCTCCTCTCCTGTGAATTGTGGGGTTGTCAGTAGGCAGCAGGTACTGAGTGAGGGGCTCTTTCTCTTTCAGGGGCCAGTGACCTTCGAGGAGGTGGCTGTGTATTTCACCAAGGAAGAGTGGACTCTGCTGGACCCCGCTCAGAGAGCCCTTTACAGAGCCGTCATGCAGGAGAACTATGAGAATGTGACCTTGCTGGGTAAGGATTCCTGTCCGCTCGGTTATTAGAAGGGGAAGTGAAGAGTTAAGTTTCACAACACCCCACAGTGCAACCTCAACTCTGCCCTGTTTCAGCAACACCCCAACAGGCAAATGACACCTACACTAGCACTCTACCCTCCTGACCACGGAGCAGTTTGGGAACAGAGCACAGGAGCAGTATAGCACAAAGTCTAACACCTTCTCTTTGCTAAGGCAAAACTTGGGATTAGGTCCCATGTAGGGAACAGAAGCTGCCTGCCCCTGGCCTGCACTCAGACCCTGAGCCTACTACACACAATCCATCTCAGACTTTCATAATGTTACCACCTCTTTACCCTTGCACTGAGGATTCCTTCTGAGTAACTGCCTTCACTTACCCTGCCTGAGCATTGGAGACCACTAGCATGTATGGCCCCAGACTACTGAGAAGCCTTGTGATAAGAACACGCTCTTAAATACTACTGTGGTGGGATTCTTTGGTATTTTACCCCTCACAGGCATATTAAATTTTATTACATTATGGTCTATATTACAAAGTGGTTCAGCTGTATTCACATCTTGCACCAGATCCTGTGCGTCGTTTAGGAGTAAATCTACACTTGCCTCTCCCCTTGTGGATTCCAGAACTAGCTGCTCCAATAAGATGCCATTAACGGGGAATGGATCTCGACTGTTCTCAGTGGTGGCAGATGACAGAACAAGGAGTAATGGTCTCAAGTTGCAGTGGGGGAGGTTTAGGTTGGATATTAGGAAAAACTTTTTCACTAGGAGGGTGGTGAAGCACTGGAATGGGTTCCCTAGGGAGGTGGTGGAATCTCCTTCCTTAGGCCTGGTCTACACTAGGAGGTTATGTCGAATTTAGCAGCGTTAAATCGAATTAACCCTGCACCCGTCCACACAACGAAGCTATTTAGTTCGACATAGAGGTCTCCTAAATTCAATTTCTGTACTCCTCCCCAACGAGGGGAGTAGCGCTAAATTCGACATGGCCATGTCAAAATAGGGTAGGTGTGGATGGAATTCGACGCTAATAGCTCCGGGAGCTATCCCACAGTGCACCACTCTGTTGACGCTCTGGACAGCAGTCCGAGCTCGGATGCTCTGACCAGCCACACAGGAAAAGCCCCGGGAAAATTTGAATTCCTTTTCCTGTCTGGCCAGTTTGAATCTCATTTCCTGTTTAGACATCGTGGCGAGCTCAGCAGCACTGGCAACGATGCAGAGCTCTCCAGCAGAGGTGACCATGCAATCTCAGAATAGAAAGAGGGCCCCAGCATGGACTGATCGGGAAGTCTTGGATCTGATCGCTGTGTGGGGCGATGAGTCCGTGCTTTCGGAGCTGCGATCGAAAAGACGGAATGCAGAGATCTACGAGAAGATCTCAAAAGCCATGACAGAGAGAGGATACAGCCGGGATGCAACGCAGTGCCGCGTGAAAATCAAGGAGCTGAGACAAGGGTACCAGAAGACCAAAGAGGCAAACGGACGCTCCGGATCCCAGCCCCAGACATGCCGTTTCTACGAGGCACTGCATTCCATTCTAGGTGCGGCCGCCACCACTACCCCACCACTGAGGCGGGAGAGGGGCAGCATACAGGGATCTTTCCCGGGGACAGCCGCGAGGGGGTGGGACAGGGGCAGAGTTCATGCTTGCCGGATTGCCGGCAGCAGGAACTGGCCAACGCTAGGAGCATTGCTTTGAACGTGAAAGGAGGGCACTGCTATAATTTAAGTTTTAAGCAGCCAAAAGTCTACGGCTTACCATGTCAGCCTGCTACCCGAATTCCGCTTTCCTGCCCCGCTTATCTGATCTCCACTGCAAGACCCCAGGCACTGAATGCAAAGGCCGAAAATTCGACCTTGTCCTGAGTGTGCATGTGATAGGTGCTGTGCATGGTCTTGTTCACAGAGAAAGACTATGTTCATTGTTCACAAAAAATTATCTTTTTGAGGAATTCACTCCCTTTTTCCCATCCCACAGCTGCGACTGTCTCCCGACCTACCCTGGCATCCCCCTCCCAGAGGCTGGCGCAGATTAGGCGGAGAAAGAAAAGGACACTGGACGACATGTTCTCAGAACTTATGGACTGCTCCCGAGCCGAGGCGGCCCAGCAGACCCAGTGGAGGGAGAACATGTTGCAATACCATCGATCACAAATTGAACGGGAGGAGAGGTGGAGGCAGGAAGACCAGCAGGCGACTCAAACGCTGCTTGGACTAATGAGGGAGCAAACGGACACGCTCTGGCGCCTTGTGGATGTTCTGCAGGACCGGAGGCAGGAGGACAGAGCCCCGCTGCAGTCTCTCTCTAACCGCCCTCCTCCGCCACAAAGTCCCATACCCCCTTCACCCAAAGTCCCAAGAAGGAGGGGCGGCAGGGGCCTTGAAAACTGTCACTCCACCCCTGCAGACTGCTCAAGTACCAGAAGGCTCTCATTCCCCAAAATTTGATAAGTCCTTTCCTTCCCTCCTCACCCAAGCCCCCGTCCCAGTTTCATCCCCTAACTGTGTAGTTGCTAATAAAAAATACGTTTCTGTTAATTACTGTTTCCATCATGTTCTTTTACAGGAGAGTGTGTATGAAGGGTGGAAGGGGGTTGGTAATTGGAGAGGACAGTCACCTTTACCAGGGTACAGACACGGGGGCAGGTTCAGCAGCAGTTCACACACACATTGCAGTCACTAGGCACCCTGGTCAGTCTGGGAGGTGGTTTTCATGTTCTGTGTGGGGGTGGGCTATGTGACTTTGTGGCGGGGGAGGGCGGTTAGAGATCTTATGCAGCGGTCCTTATCCTGGATCACAGAGCCATGCAGCAGGGGATCTGTAACCGTCCTCCCCCGCCACAAAGTCACATAGCCCCCACACACACAGTCCCGAAAAGGAGGGGTGGCAGGCTCTGTTGAAACAACCAGTCCACCACTGTGGACCCCTCTAGGAGCAGGAGCCTGTCATTCCTTGAGTTTAGAAGCGTCCTTTCCATCACTACGCCTGCTCGCCACCACAGTCTGCGTCCCAGTTTCAACAGTTTACCGCGAAACCCATAATAAAGAAAACGGGGTTCATTAACAAAGTTCCATTTATTTTATTTTTAAACATGGGTTGGAAGGGGGGGGACGGGGTGAACGGGGTATGTAGCTGGAGAGGATAGTCAACATTAACCGGGTAAAGAAACGGGGGCAGGTTCAGCTTCTCTTTAAACAAACTTAAAAGTCACTGGTTACCCTGCTCACTGAGGAACCTAGCTTTCAAAGCCTCCCGGATGCACAGCGCGTCCCGCTGGGCTCTTCTAATCGCCTGGCTGTCTGGCTGGGCGTAATCAGCAGCCAGGCTATTTGCCTCAACCTCCCACCCTGCCATAAAGGTCTCCCCCTTGCTCTCACAGAGATTGTGGCGCACACAGCAAACTGCAATAATAATGGGGATATCGGTTTCGCCGAGATCAGAGCGAGTCAGTAAGTTTCTCCATCTCCCCTTGAGACGTCCAAAAGCACACTCCACCACCATTCTGCACTTGCTCAACCGGTAGTTGAAGAGTTCTTTTTCAGTGTCCAGGGCGCCTGTATAGGGCTTCATGAGCCAGGGCATTAGCGGGTAGGCTGGGTCCACGAGGATCACTATAGGCATCTCCACATCCCCAACAGTTATTTTGTGGTCCGGAAAGTAAATACCTTCCTGCAGCAGTCTAAACAGACCAGAGTTCCTGAAAACACGAGCGTCATGAACCTTGCCCGGCCATCCGACGTTGATGTTGGTGAAACGTCCCCTATGGTCCACCAGTGCTTGCAGCACCATTGAAAAGTAGCCCTTTCGGTTAATGTACTGGCTGGCCTGGTGGTCCGGTCCCAGGATAGGGATGTGAGTTCCATCTATAGGCCCACCGCAGTTTGGGAATCCCATCGTGGCGAAGCCATCTATGATGACCTGCACGTTTCCAAGGGTCACTACCTTTGACAGCAGTAGCTCAACGATTGCGTTGGCTACTTGCATCACAGCAACCCCCACGGTAGATTTGCCCACGCCAAAGTGGTTCGCGACTGACCTGTAGCTGTCTGGCGTTGCAAGCTTCCAGAGGGCTATGGCCACTCGCATTTGAGTCAGAGCCTTAACACTTTGTGTTGTAAATTTTTTTTATAAGAACTGCCCTACTAGGTCAGACCAAAGGTCCATCTAGCCCAGTATCCTGTCTTCTGACAGTGGCCAGAGGTAATGAACAGAACAGGTAATCATCAAGTGATCCATCCCCTGTCGCTCATTCCCGCTTCTGGCAAACAGAGGCTAGGGACACTAGTCCTGCCCATCCTGACTAAGTATATAAGAATCAGGAAGCCTGCCATACAATCAGTGGGGCTACTGGGTGCTTGAGGTGCTAAATGAGCATTCAGCTGCTCTGCAATGGCCTTGATTCCCTAACTGAATCCTTTGCATCAGTCTTCACTGCAGAGCATGTGAGGGACTTTCCTACACCTGAGCCATTCTTTGTAGCTGGCAAATCTGAGGAAAAGTCCCAGATTAGGGTGTTGATAGAGGACGTTTTGGAACAAATTGATAATTTAAACATTAATAAGTCATGAGGCAAGATGATATTCATCCCATCTTTAGACCACTAATCTTGCCCTGCATCCACATGATGAGCAGTGTATTTCAGGGCAATGTGAGTAAGCATGTAAACTGTAGAGAAATTAGAATAGTTGGCCTTTAAACAGAAAGTAATGCTGAACCCTAAATATAGTGGAGCTGGTGGTCTGCTAGGATAATGTTCCAAATGCATGGAGGATGTGGCAATCAGGTGCAGCCATCTGTGGACATGAGACAATTTGAGGGTCTCATTCAGGCCTTAAGACAAGGGAGAGCAGGAGGAAGGGAGAAGATGATGGGGAGCCGGTGTTTGTGGGGTGCCACAAGGCAGGGA